TTTTTGAGAGAGAGAGGTTTTTGCTATAGGGTGCATGCACTCCCACTTCAGAACCTTTGCAATTGCTGTTTCCTTTGTCTAGAGAGCCTGGCTTCTTCCCATCCTTCAGATCTTGACTTAGATATCTCCTTCTCAGAGAGTATCCCGGATCACTCCATCTACTGTATGTCCTGATCCAGGCACTACAAAGGACCCTGTTTATTTACTTTATAATGTTGATCTCACTATCTGAGATACTCTTGTTGGTTTGCTTGTATATTTTCTGTCTTTCCTGTTCAAATGTAAGCTGCCTACGGGTGGAGACATTTTTTGCTTTGTTCACCATCATATCTTAGAGTCTAGAAGAGTACCTGGCACACAGTAGGCCCTCAGTGAACATTTGTTGAATGAATGAATGAACGAACATGTGAATAGGAATAAGGCTGCACACAATCCCAATTTCAGGCCTGGAGTCTACAATTAGAGAAAAAGGTGTTCAGCTTTCACTTTTTAAATTTTAACACTGGCAATAACAGAAGGGCAGTAGCTCTGGCATGAGGTGTTAGACATAGAGCCCTGTAATAGCCTCAGAATAACAGGTCTCTAGCAACTGTGTGCCATTTGGAGTCCCATTGTATCAAGCTGAAATCTTTAGATAGAGTCTCAAGAGCACAGAAGTATCTGTGTAGGATCAACAGGAAGCACTTTGCAGATTGCTGTCCCCATCAGCCCATTTTCATAGCACACTGTCTTTTATGGGGTGGCTTCCCTTGGTGTATAACCCATCTTCCATGGTGGGCTGAGGAATGGGGCCCCTGTTCAGCCTCCTCTGGTGTTTCTCCTCAGGGATCAGTAATGGGGAAGTGGTGGACTGGATGGACTCGACTGGGGAAGAAGTGAGCCTGTGGCAGAAGATGCGTCAGTACCCAGGGTCTTGGGCAGAAGGGACCCTACAGCTCCGTTCCTCGATGGTCAAACAGAAGCTGGGTCTATGAGTCTTCCTCTGAGGGTCCAGCCCTGGCCAGGGCAAGTCAGAGGAAGTGAAGAAACCAAGAGCAAAGACTTATAATTTAATGTGTGTGCTTGTGTGTCTTGTTTGCATGTGTACAAAACTGGTTCTGCAAATCTCATTGTGTTAGCTAGAGTGATGCAGACTCATTCCCCCTTTTAAAGTAGGTTCACAAGTAAGGGTCTCTTTAAAATGGCTTTATTTGTGCATGGTCTAATTTATTTCCAGAATCCATTCTTACATCTTTACGAAGTTTAATTAACTTAAAAATATTTTAAAATAACATTTTATCTTCTGTCCTGCTATCCTTATTTCTACTTCTCCAGAAAGCCCTGGCTACCTTTGGCATTAAGGTGTACCTGATCTGAGGCCAAGGCTCTAGGATGCAAGGTTGGGTTATTATAGACAGGGCAATGTGGGAGAGAGGTGGGGAGGTCCTCTTCTTCTTCTCTAGTGGATGCTTTTAATTCATTTTCTATCTTGATACATTTCTGGAACTTGGTTTCTTATTTTTTAAGCATTTCTACCTTGCTTGGATCTGATGTTTTTCTTTGAAATATTAAGAAAAAATCCTTCAGCTCTTTTCATTTCTAGGCTCTTTTACTAGCCCTTTGGGGGACCCTTATAATGGAGCCACTTTAGGAAAGCACTTTAATTAGATAACGGCTTTTTGACTGAATCATGAACATGCCCACTGAGAGCTTCTAGCTGATCCCAGAAGACCCAAGTGACTGAAGGCAAAGTGCCTCCCGGCTCATACTAACTTCTCTGCATTTTAAACTGAGACAGCAGTTGTTGGAAAGAGAACTCCTCACTTCTTTACTGAAACATGAGACATCTCTCTATTCTCATGTACCACATCTTTCTTAATGTTTGTATTTGGCATGTGTCAGCACACAGAATATGGTCCATATGCCACTGTGTTAGCCAAAAGAGCCAAGTGTGGTCTAAACTGGCCCGTGTTTCTCAAGGCTAGGGACTGTTAGCACTCCAAGAGAATGTGAACAGAGAATCTCCCAGTTACTCTGACTTCCTACCTGAGGTGGCTTCACTTGCTGTTTTTTTCTAATATTTCTTAAACTGGACCTAGATGTAACATGGATGTGGTGTGTTGAGGCTGTTCAAAGAAGGGTCTGATGAGCTAAGTTTCATTTTCTGGTACTCACTGGTCTTTTTATTCCTACAAGTGTATCTAAGCAAAGTTGTCTGTGGAAGGAGTCTATACCAGAAAGGAATTCCTTCTCAATAGAGTCAGCTACTGGCTGTCTTTCCTGTAAGGCCACTGGATTGAGGGCAGCTACAGTGATTGCCATTGAATGTGTGAACCGAATGGAGGAATGTTTTGAAAAGCATTATTTGGTGTGGGTCGATACTGTAATGGAAGACATAACTTGGGATCCGAGCTGTAACTTGCTCTTTTGTTCTCCACCCCGACATGTATGTGTGCTTCAATAAAGCTTTCTCATTTGTCAAACGTTTGCATTTGTTAGTTCTATAGATGCTTTTGTGTCCAATGTCCTGACTTACTGTTGTTTGCTTTTTGTGTGGCTTGAGGGATCAGAACCAAGGTGATAAGTGCCCTTCCCTAAACATCCTGGGCTGCTCTGAAGAAAATTTGCCTTTCTCTACTTGCAGCCTGATACCTTCATTGAACTCTGATCCCTTGTCCTTTGTGCATTTTTGGTATCTAAGGAGAGAACTAAGAACCCATCTTTATTTTTTTCATTACTGGAGGGTACATGTGAGCACTAGAGAGAGATGGAGAGAGGAGGAGAGGAGAAAATATCCCCCATGGGGCATAGTCATGCCACAATCCCTTCTCCTCTATCTCTCCTGCCTTTTGGGATTTGGGGCACACGTGCACATGTGCCTGGCATGTTTCTCGTCACCAGGTCAGGGACTCAAACTGCAGTCAGCCATGTATGATCTAGCTGCCTTAATCACCAGGCCATGGAGCTGGCCCAAGAACCCATCTTAATAGTAACACCATTTTCCTCTTTCAATTACCAAGGAAAGTCCTCTTTTAGTCCTCCACACATTCCTGTGCTGGAGGAAGGAGAGAGGTTCACAAAGGAAGTGGGGAAGACATTCCCTGCTATAAGCACTTCTGTCTTCATCCTTCAATTTCTCTGGAAGATGGGACTTTTTTCCTTCATTCTTACTACCCGTATATAATTTTGAAACAGAAATAACACAGATGCTAACTAACCCATCTCAGAAATAAGGCTCTGATTTGTCAGAGCCCAAACGAGTCTTTTGCAAAGGGTATTAATATATATATTGAATGCCTTTTGTGTGCAAAGCTTTATATATTATTTTAAAACTGTTCTCTAACCACTTCATGAAGTAGGAAATTGTTCCTTTTTACAGATGAGGAAATTCAAGCCCATTGTCACATGACAGAGTTGGGATTTGAATTAAGGTCTGACTACTGTATCATGTTACTTTCTATAAGAATGATATGTGTGTTCTGGGTCAAGAGTCAAAGGAAGGGAGGACTAATTTCAAATGTCTTAAAGGAGCTTAATTTATAAACTAGGACAATCAGAATGCTTTGGCTATTACCTAGCTGGCTTAGTGGCTGTGTGTGTGTGTGTGTGTGTGTGTGTGTGTAAGTGTAAGAGAGAAAGTAAACGGGGAATGGGAGAGGAGAGGTAGAGGGAGAGAGAGTAAGACAGAGAAGTGGGGGAAGAGGGAAAAAGAGATGTCAGGGGGTAGAGAGGGACAGAGAGAGAAAAACAAGAGGTATGTATAGGGCTGGGGTTGGGCCAGGCCCTTTGGATCTGGCTCTGGGCCTAATTCTTCTGTGTTTTTTTTTCCCTTCTACTTTAAGAAATAGGATTTCTTGAGAGAGTAAGACAGAGAAGTGGGGGAAGAGGGAAAAAGAGATGTCAGGGGGTAGAGAGGGACAGAGAGAGAAAAACAAGAGGTATGTATAGGGCTGGGGTTGGGCCAGGCCCTTTGGATCTGGCTCTGGGCCTAATTCTTCTGTGTTTTTTTTTCCCTTCTACTTTAAGAAATAGGATTTCTTGAGTCAAAATTTACAAAGGTCTACATAATAGATTATAGATTATAATAAAACTTTAGTGGCTTAAAGTCACACCAGGCACGCAGGAGTGCACACCCAAGATCCCGAGGAGAATGGAGGAGAGGGAATTGCAGCGTAGCCATGCCCCCTGGGGGGTGATTTCTTGCTTTCTGTCTTTCTTTCTATAGCACATGTGCCCTGTAGCAAAAAAAAAAAAAAAAAAAAAAAAAAAAAAAAAAAAAAAAAAAAAAAAAAAAAAAAAACTGAAACCAAACCAAACAAAAACACCTCTCAAAAAAAAAAAAATAAATAAAAAAGAACTTTACCTACATAAAGCAATATCAATTTGCCATGACTACTCAAGATAAAACAATGTTCCTCAGTTGTTTTAAGATAGAAGAGAGCACTTATATGGAAGTGTTAGGCCCAGGTGGGAACGCTACTCAGAGGGTAGAGGGCCTCCTCAATGTTATTTTTGGACCTTTGACCTGCTAGCATGTCTTGGCTTGCCACTTGATGAGTTAGTATGATAAAGATAAGGAAGGGCATTCATCTTTCTTGGTGTGCAGTCTTTGCCTTTGGAACTGCAGACCTTGTCTGGCCAGAGATTTCCCACATAAAATCATTGTATTTTGTCTTCTGCCCATAAGTTGCTGCCTGCCCCTTATAGCGCCTGTATTTTCCTGGAAGGAGGAGGGAGAAAGAGGACCGTTTTGCTCCAAGTTTGATCATTTCCTTCATGTCCCATCCCACCTGGAAACTGCCTAATTGTTTATTTCATGCATTAAAAATGAGATTTTCAGTAATCCCCCAGTGGAAACAGGCTCTGTTTGACTCATTGCTATACCTATATGCTCTAGACTCATGATTTATGTCCCATCACTCTGCTTTAAAGAGTGAATTTTCTTGGGATGAAAACTTTTGTTTTCCTCTTTCCTCCTGGGCTCCCACTGAGTCTTGTGTCTGAGTAAGATTATAGGAGATAGATCTTTCTCTTTGCTTAGGACTTTTAGCCATCTTTAAATGGAAAGTAGAGAAGAAGTAGAGGTAGTAAGGCATAATGTCTTCCCCTGGAGCCAGGCTGCTGGCATTTAAATGACTCTTTCACTTATTTGCTGTCTGATTTTAAGCAAATTGCCTAACCTTGCTGAGCTTCAATTCTCTCATCTGTAAAATGGGACTAGGCTGATAAGTACCTACCTTGTAGGGTTCTAGTGAAGCCATGTTGTCAGTCTAAGTCTTTAGAACGACACCTGGCACACAGAACAAGCTCGAGCATCAAGAACTCTGCTTCTTATCTAGCCTTCTCCCTTCTAGTTTTCTACTGATGACCTCCTGGGTAAAGCTGAAGGAAAAAGGCTGCTGAGTCTTAACTATGACCCTGGGTTTCATGAGTTTTTAGAAGAAGGTTCTTGGCAGCAAGGGGAAGAACTCATTTATTTTAAACACTGATGCACCAGTGGGTGGGACCGAAGTCAGAACAGGGACCTGTGTGTGGCTCCACCTTAAGTAGCCTGACCTCAGATTTACATAGGCCTGGTTCTTACTCTGTGCTCATCTCTGAAAAGTGCGTATCTGCGGACATTAGCACATGAGGCCGAGTCTGTCTCCCTTTTCTTTATACCTGCAGCAGTGGTCTTAAGGTTTCTTAAATCATGGGCAAGGGACAGCACTGTCTGCCTTTCACTATGGGACCTAGAGGACTTAGTAAGAAGGGGTTCTTGCACATGAGCCAGCTAGAGGGGCCAAGGGAAAGCATACTTCTTTCTTCTTGGACTTTTTTTTTTTTTTCCCCAAGTTCCCTGATGTTGCAGTCTAACTCTTAGACGAAGCCATGGTTCATGTAACATTTGTGCCCCAATGCCCTAGGAGAAATGACAAGCAAGTTTAAGAATATTTGTAGCCCAACCCTCCCTGTGTTATAGTTAACTTCAAGGAAAATCCAGTTTCCATTGCCTAAAATGTCTTATTTAATCTGTTGAGATGGTGCTGCCCTCTGCTGTCACTTCAGGATAGTGGAACCATGTAACGCAGCCAGTTAGAGAATGAATGAGTTTAGGATTTACTTTCCTTGAAGACTTTGGAGAGCAGTGCAGAGGCCAAGGTTAGGAAAGGAAGACCTTCTATCCCTAATCCACTGCCTAGGGCCTGTCCTCAGTCCTTACCTTTTATGATCTTCCAGAGCTACCTAAAGCAGAAACTTGCTTAGAAATAGTACTTCAGAAACCTACAAAGACACCTGGTAGTAGTGTCTCAGGATTGAAGAACCTCATCCACCTCAAAGCCCTGTCTCTAGAAATACGGGGAATCGTTTCTTCCTTTCATTAGGCTCCAGTTTCAGCTAATGAGGAGGCCTTTTTCCTTGACCTCTACCATGCCCTAGCTCAAATTCAGTCACATATGTCCCTTTGTTCCCGGCGCTGAGTCAACTCCTGGTTGCTTAGTAGGTAGTCATCAATGAATGTGAAGATTTCTTCAGGGGTGACAGGCTCCATATAGCGTTCCCGGTCAATTCCCTGCTTGTCAATTAACACCATGTTGAAGTAGGAGCGAGTGAGGCGCTGGAATTGCCTAGAGAGAGCGACCCAAGGGGGTGTGAGACCTTGTCCGGCATTTGTCCCACAGGGTTCTGCCACCTTCTGACCTTTTACAGCTCCTCTGATGGACTAAGTCCTTCCCCACATCCCTTATCCCCATCACTTCTACTACCTGGATCAAGCACCTTTGCTTTTCCTTGCCCAGACCCTACTCTTGCTGACTCTGCATCTAGCTCTGCTAAGCTATCCCTTCCTCACCCCAGCTGGGGCAGCTTTGTTATTCCCAGGCTATACTTCCATTGTAGGCCCCTTTAAGCAAGGCTATCACATATTGCTATGCAGGCTGCACAGAAGAACTTCCAGAGATACCTGTCACATATGAGAGGTCTTCAAAAAGTTTATGAAAAATGCATATCATGAAAAAAAAAACTACATGTGTTTTTCAAAAGCTCATACTTGAATTACATTTTTTTCCACAAACTTTTTGGAGTCCCCTTGTACACTATGATATGTGTGGACATTATAGCCCTGAGGCTGATAAATTGGTTAACTCTTCTACTGTGGCTGCAAGAGTGCAGTCTCCTTCTTCTGAGTGTTTCTTAGTCTCTCCTCTAACTGGGACTGAATCTTTCTGTCCCCACTGAGACTGAGCCTTAAAGGCAAGCATTGTTTCTAGAACAGAGAGATGGCTTCATGGGCCCTGAGGATATGTGGTGGCATTGGAAGGGTAATGGACGAATAATGAGAAAAGTCAGCTTTTACCAGCTGTCATCTATAGCGTTATTTTCACCTGGGTCTGTTGGATATAATTCAGATTTCAGTGTCTTGAGATGCCTTTTTCTTTTTCGGAGACATAGACAAAGAGATGAGACCAGGAGGCAGCAGGTCTCCCTTACAGAGGCTTGTATAAGTCCAGTTCAGGTCTAACTGTTTCAGTCAGGCTGTGCTTCAGTCTCCAGAGGTGCCTTTAGAAAAGCACATTCTTGAAGTTTTTTATTGGGGGGGAGGGAGAGTGGCTGGGGATCTGGCTTTTAAGTCCCCATTTGACTCTGATATACTGCTAGAGTTCAGAGCCACTCTCTGGTCTTACCTAACATACCCGTGAGTTGAAACGTAAGAAGTGCCCCAAGAGAGTAGGGTCTGGGGCTTGTCCTCCACACCCCTGTTGCTAGTGACCTGCCTAAGGTTTCTGCCCACCCCTGCCCTGCAACCTCCCAGCCTGGACCTGAGCTCCTCGATGATGTTGGCTGACAGCTGTTGCTCCCGGATGCGCCCCACCTCCTGAGGTGGCTGTCCCACCAGCTCGATGATGGTCACATGCCGCAGGACCAGTCCACAGGTAGATTGCTGGTAAGCGGAGAGAATATTTTATAGAACAGGCCTTTGCATTTGAACCTGAGGCTACTTGGCTGATTTTTCTGGGGACAGCAGGAGGCAATGTCAGAAAGGAGGGGCTTATTCTCTAACAATTATTCCTGAAGTCATTCCAGAAATACTTTTCCCGACAATGTTTCCTTCATTCTACTGAAGTGTAAAAAACCAGTTACACAATGTAGAGTAAAGCAGACTAAATTATAGGAACATAATTATTGCTTAGCTTTGCATAGGTTTTAAACTACATAGGTTCTTTTTTTTTATTTAAGAGAGATTTTTGCTCACTGGAGAGACAGAAATAGAAAGTGAGAAATCACCCCCTGGGGGGATAGCTATGCACACAATCCCTTCTCATCTCTCTCAGGATTTTGGGCAGGCACACACACGCACTTGCCATGAGTTTTAAGCCACCGGATCCAGGACTCGAAACATGGTCGACTATGTGGGAGTCCAGCAACATAACCATTATAACATCTTCTGGCCCCTAAGTTTTTGTTTTTAATCTCTTTACATCTTCTATTTACTTAGAGTGCTTTAATCATATCATCAAGATTTTCAGTCTTTGTATTATTTTTGATAATCTCCCTTATGTGGCCTCTTTATTTTAAAAAGAAAATTCACATCTCCTTTTTTAATTTGATTTATCTTATCTTTTTTTTCTTGATTAAATTTGTTAGCGTGTTTGTTTATATATTGTTTCTATGCTTTTTTTTTTCCCCAAAATTTCAAATTTTTTCTCTCATCTTTTTTTTCCCCCTTTGTACTTTGGTGCTTTTTTAATGGATGGCTATTGTGATACAATAATGGCTATTGCTTATTGAATACACATACTTAATGCTTTGTAGAAATATTCTAATTTAATCTGCACAATACCCCTAACAAACTAGGTGAGGATCATTCTTTTTCTTCAGAGGAGAAAGTAACTTGCCCAATTTTGCATGACTGTACAGTAAGATAGTGAACCAAGACTCCAACTGAGGGCTGATACCATCTTCCCAAGTGAGTGCTCTTGCTTTATCGCCAGGGCCTACTTGCACAGTCTCCAGGATTTCTCTACAATAGAGCCCAGTGTGCTTTTCATGACATTTGTTGCCTTCTTCTCACTAGGCAGCACTCTATAGCCCTGTCTCTAACAATTATTCCTGAAGTCATTCTTTGTCCTGCCTTGTTCTGTAGGGTTACCTCTTAGTTGGTTACCAGGGAGAAGTTTAAAGAGACATCAAACACTCACTGGTGCCCCACCCGTTTTTTCTTTGGGTTCCTCCTCTAGTCATGACCTTCAGAGTCACTGACCTCATTGGCAGATTCCTATTTTTGTTCTTGTTTCCAGTTCAAACTGAGCTGTTGCCTTTGCCTTTTTTGGATCCCTGGAGTATGAAGTCCTTTATGGTGTAGACCCCCAGATTTGTCCTTTTGGTAAGACCACTTCCATCATGGGCCTCTGAATATTGGCTTGGCAGCTTCTAAGATTCAACCTTTAGACAACTCTTTTTTTTTTTTTTTTTTTTTTTGAGAGATTTTCACTGTAGGGCGCGTGCGCTCGCCAGACAGACAGAGAGACACATAGAGACAGAAAGCGAGAAATCACCCCCCAGGGGGGATGGTCACGCCGCAATCCCTTCTCCTCCATTCTCCTCTCGGGATCTTGGGCACGCACGCACACGCGCCCGGCGTGAGTTTTAAGCCACCGGGTCTGGGACACGAACCGCGGTCAACTACGTGGGAGTCCAGTGACATAGCCATTACGCTAACTGCTGGTTCCCCCTTTAGACAACTCTTAAATAGCTTCTTCTCTTACCTAGGTATCCATACCATTGTAGCAGGCCGGAGTTGTTTCTGTTAGTCTTGTGAGCACACCCTGAAATCTCTCTAACAACCTAGTCTGTTCTTTTTATAAGTTCCCACAGTCATATCTATTCGGTTTTCCCTACCTCTCCTTTCCCCACTAGGGACTTTAGCTAGGTATCTCTTGGAATGTTAAAAATCTTCACGGAACTCCCTCAATTTGCTTTGAGCTATCACAACACTTTTCTTCCTCTTCTGCTCCTGGAAGTAGTTAAGAGCACAGATCTTTGAGTTGGACTGCCTGGATTCAATCCCAGTGCTACGACTTACTAGCTAGTGACTTTGGGCAAGTCACTAAACCTCTCTATTCCTGTTTTCTCACCTATTCAACAGGGATAATAGCAGTACCTATCTCATAATGGCTGTTGTGAGAATTAGATGGATTTGTGTGAAGCATATAGATCAGTATCTGGTACTTAAATAGCACTTACTGTATTAATGTTTGTGCTATTATTCCTTGAAAACATAAACATACTTAATTCCCAACATTTTCATTTCATCATAGCTGTCTTACAAGTCTCTCCAGAGTGCTTTGCCACAGTTCTTTTCCATCTCTCACCCAGCGTACCATAAGTCACATCCAACATTACAGTGGCCTCATTGCCTTGTCAGCAACAACATAGCAGTTAACAATGTGTTAAATATCTGTATGGTAAAACTGATAAAATTTTATCCACAAAAAGTTTGAGGGAGTAGGGTTTGAGCTGCAGAGAGCAACTTTTTTATTTGGAAAATGTAAGGGAATAATTGAAAGGCGCTCAGCCCTAATTAGGGGAATGGGTCTCACCTGTAGCATAGAGAGCTGCATTTTATAATATCGGTTTGAAGGATCAGGAGATGAGATGATGAGGAGTCGCTGTTTCTCATAGAACTGATCCAGAAGGCCAGCAGCCGAGTTGACATTGACATTGATCTTCATAGCTAGGGTGGAAGCAAATGGCCAGTCAGAGGATAGCCTCCTTTATCTTGGGTAACTAACTTAACATCTTGAGACGTTCCAGTCTTCCAAGTTAGCCTTTTCTGGTTGTTTTCTCCCCTTGTAGGAAATTCTGAAAGGACACTGGGATATTTTAAACCCATCTTCTTGGGGTAGGAGTATTCTATAAGGGAGTATTGACCTTTAAAATAGACACATCTTACAACCCCACATTGCATATCATACACGTTACTATTAGACCCCTGGGCCAAGGTGAGGGGAGATCTTCCAAAACACTTCTGATCCCTTCATTCCCCGGTTTCACTCACGAGCACAGATAGGTGGTGATCCTGACCACTGGCGGCTGGATTGGCAGACCCTAGAGGGGGTCCCCTGGCGCTCATAACCACCATCACAGTGGTATTCACAGGTGGCACCATAGTTGTTCCCCTCTGAGGTGCAGGTGAGGTAGCCATGCTGTGGTGGTTTCAGAATTGGGCAGCGTCTCACTGTCAGGAAGGAACTCAAGTTAGGGGATACAGTGTCTCTTATAAGAAAAGAGAGGGCACCTATGCTGTGCTCTCTAGACCAAGAAACAGGGTAATAAGAAAGAGGACTTTTTGGGACCAGCAGATGGCATAATGGTTACGTTGCTGGACTCCCACATGGTCGACCACGGTTTGAGTCCCAGGCCCAGAGGCTTAAAACTCATACTGGACACATGTGCATGCATGCCCAAAATCCCAAGAAGAGAGTTGGAGGAGAAGGGATTTGGCAAGGCTATTGTCCCTAAGGGGTGATTTCTTGTTTTCTATCTCTCTGTCTCTCTCTGTCTCTCCAGTGAGCACACATGGCCTGTAGCAAAGAGAGAGGACTTTTCTGTGTTTCCAAAGGTCAATGATAAAGTCAAATTTTCTTTTCTCAAAAGAATTAAATCTGAAATGCAGACAGAGGTTCACAAAATCTGGGAATATAGGTAAATATACATATTGTAATCAAAAGACTATCAATGTGTCAAAGAAAATATTATCATTTATGTTTCTGGATTTTATGAACACCTTGTGTAAAGGTGACCACCTTCTAGAATTACTTTTTTGTTTGTTTGTTTTATTGCCAGAGGGCACATATACTTGCCAGAGAGAGAGAGAGAGATGGAGTGGGAGGAGAGGGAGAAAGCACCTACATTAAGATATAGTCGTGTTGCAATCACTTCTGGTCCATTTCTCTATCCTGTCAGGATTTAGGTCATACATGTGCATTCACCTAGAGTGTTTTTCAGGTCATTGGGGCTGGTAATTGAATGGCTGGTCATGTGGGATCTGGTTCCCTTGACCACTATGCCATGGGGTTGGCTCTGGAATTACTTTTGCTTTTTAATTTGCCAGAGGGTGCATATGCTTACCAGAAAGGAGAGAGAGAGTGAGAGAGAGAGAGAGAGGACTAAGAGGACCGGAAGAGATGGCCATGCTGCCATCCTCTCTACTCCATTCTCCTCTCAAGATTTTGGGCATGCACGCAGATGTGCCTGGTGTGTTTCTAAAACCTCTGGGTCCGGGGCTTGAACTGCATAGTTGGTTATGTGGAATCCAGCCACCTCAAGCACTATTCCACTGGCTCACTCCAGAATTACTTTTTTTAAAAAAATTCTCCCTTTTTATCTAAAATTTTGCTTTAAATAATCTCTCTCGATTTGCATTTTACTATACATATTGAAGGGAAGGCAGGCTGCTTCATCACCATTTTGCTTAGGTAGTTCATTGCCCAAATATTCAGTTTTATAGCTCAAAAGTTCTACCTTCTATGAAACACTAGGATGTGAAAATAATTCAGCCAAATTTTATGGCACAGTGATTCTCTTTTCTATACTTTCCAATGAAATATTCCTCATTTTAATCTGTCACCTTATCAGAATGGGCTTTGCCACTTGAATTTGTACCAGCATTTTGATTATAACCACTTAGGTAATCTTTAAGAAGATCAAGGCTTTCTGTGGAGCTCTCCTCTTACTCTGAGCCCTCATCAGAATACCCCTCAATATCAATTTGTGATGATGTAGACTTTTCCAGCTTGGAACACAAAATTCTTCCAGCCTTAACCATTGCCCAGTGACAAAACCACTTTCTCATTTAAAAATTTTTTTTAATAGCAGCTCCCATTTTTGGTAATGGCTTCTTTTCTTTTCGTTTTTCTTTTTCTTTCTTTTTTTTTTTTTTTTACTTTCTTCCCCTTAGATTTTTGCCATAGGGTTCATGTGCTTGCCAGATGGAGATGGAAAGAGAAGGAAAGTGAGAAGTTACCTTCCATAGGGGGGATGGCCACACCACAATCCTTTCTTCATTCTCCTCTTGGGATTTTGAGCATGCACGCACACATGCCCACATGATTTTCAAGTCACTAGGCCCATGACTCAAACTTTGGTCAGCCATTTGAGAGTCCAGTGCCTTAACCACATGACCTGCTGGCCCCTTTAATTTTACTTTTAATAGTAGAAATAAGTTAGAAGAGTCTTAAATATTGGAAGAAAGGCTAAGCAAAATATGATATATTCTTAAAATAGAATATTATGCAGCCATTAAAACTGTGATTATATATAAAATATTAATCTTAACTATAATTTAAAAAAGTATAAATAGACAAAAGATTGGAAGGAAAATATAAAAAGGTTCATAGAAATTGCCTCTGGGTGATGGAATAATAGAATTCTTTTTCTTTATATATTTCTTATTTTTCACATGTTCAACAATGAGCATGAATTAATTTTAGGGTGTGAAAAGCAAAGCAAAACAATACAACACAAAGCAAAGAGGAAGAATCAGGTGGCCAACACCACCACAATTTCAGCAGAGATGAACAGCTGACAATGAAGATGAATTAGATTTGATAATTTTGAAGGCCAAGGAAAGAAATAGGTATAGATCTTTGTGAATTTTATCTAGATTTAGGAAAATGAAAAAGTCTTGTTGAGAACTCAAGGTTTTTGAAATGTGTGTATGAACATATAATGTAGGCTTCCTGAATGAGTCTGTTTAGTGAACCTGGTTTTTCCCTCTCTCAGTATAAACAAGGTGTGTCTGTTTCAGGCAAGACAGGTGAGGGCTGTGGTGGGTTTCTAGGTCAGAGTAGAGTAGGAATAATGAACAATGTGAAAACTTAAGAATTCTTTCTGACCTTGTACTTTAACAATGAACTTGCAGCTGGCCCGGTTGTAGGCTCGGTCATACGCAGTGTAACGAATCACATGCTCTCCTTCTGGAAAATGAGAGCCAGGCTCAGGTCCCCGAAGTGTCACTCTGCAAGGCACAAGGTGAAAGAGCCACCAGGGATGAGGCCCTTAGAATTGAGGTCTGAGGCACATCATCATGTAGCCTCAGCCTGTGCAGTTCTAGTGTTAGCAGCCTGAGGACTGGAAGAAGCTGCTTGGAGGTCTAAGGGCATCCATTACTCAAGCTCACCTGGTGATGGTACCATCAGCAGAATCTTTCACCAAGGGTGGGTCCCAGTATACTCGAGCAGTCAGTTTCTCTGGCTCTGCCATCTTCTCACGTGAGTGGGGACAACGGATCTTGGGGGGATCTATGTCTGCCAATGTCAAAAGTCAAATGCTGACTCATGGGTCCCCTGCCTTCTCTGGAAGAAACCCATTGAAGGAGTACCACAAACAACCAGGGAGGTAAAAAGATCAAGGTGCTCAAGGAAACTCGGAAAGGAAGGTCAACTGCAGGGGAAATGGTCATTTTGTTAAGCATATGCCCAGGTTGCCATCCTCCTAGTGAACAGAAATGCCTTCTGTGGTGAGAATTCCAAAAAGAAAAAAACAGAGACTTTTGTAAGACAGGGTCTTTCTGTGTCCTCCCTCAGTCTCCAGTGTTAGCAGAGATCATAGGTATAAGTCACTACTCCTGGCTCTTCTTTAGACACAATCCTGCAATTTTGTACAGACCAGCTTTGAGCTCTCACCCCACCTGCATCAGGCTCCCCAACTTGCATCAACTGCAGGTATGTGCCATCATGCCTGTTAGACTGGACCAAGAGTTGAATTCTGGTTTTACATGTGGTCCCAGCATGTGGCATATAACATCTTAGTAGCACTTGACAGTGTGGGCCGACAATTCCACATCTTTTGTGAATATAACCCGAGGGCGATTTTATTTTTATTTTTTAATATTGCCAGAGGGCATATGTGCTTGCTGGAGACAGACAAGAGACAGAGATAGAGAAAAAATAGAAAAGCACTCCCATGTGAATGGTCATGCTGTAATCCCTTCTCTTCTACTCTCCTTTTGAGATTTTGATCATGCACACACACACGCCTGGCATGTTTCTCAAGCTGCTGGGTCCAGGACTCAAACCATGTAGTTGACCATGTAGGATCCAGCTGCCTTAACCATCACACAACCAGCTGACCCTGTGAGAGTGGTTCTTTGCAGTAGGACACCTGGGAGCACCCAGCACTTACCTACACATACAGGCTCGCCTCCACTCCATCGCCCATCTTCCATGCAGATTCGGCTGCGGTCACCCTCTAGCTGGAACAGCTGTAGTCACAGCGGGAGTCAAGAAGCACCCCATTTGTGCATGTATAGGTGCCACTAGTGATGAGCGGCAGTGCATGGCATCTTACCTCTAAGAGAGAACCAAGTGGCAAGCTCAGTGGCCTATGGGACTATCTAGAGGTGATGTCTGGCAACTAATACAGTGAGAATCATATCAGAGACAATAGAAAATATAGAAACCCTACCAAAATTGCCTTTATATTTTTGTAACTGTCTTTTTTGTCCCAATTGTTTTATTTTCATATTATAAAGTACAACAGTACTCTTTAGGGATCTCAAAGAAATAAATTATTACTTGTCCAAGGACAGAGACTTTTGGAATCAAACCTGAGTTTGTGTCTTGGTGCCACCTCTTACTAGCTCTGTGCCTTGAAAAAGTTGTCTTGTTTCTCTAAATCTCAGTGTTTTCATTGGTAAAATGTAGATATCACAGAGAGTTGTTGAGCAAATTAACAAGAGACCATGCATATAAACCTCTGGGCTCATACAAGGCCTCAACAACTGTTAATTTTCATTTCCTGTGCCTCAAATGCTAGAAGCCTTTGAGTATGTTCAAAATCTTTTTGAGTATAATTTTGGTGATCCCAAAGACACTCCTCACCTGAGGCTCACTTACTTACATGCCCAAGTGGATGGTCCCTCTATCTGGGTGGGAATACAAATCAGACCAGCCCTTAGAGGGCCACATGAGGTGGTATTTGATAAAAGAATAATTCATGTGCTTTAGTCACCACATGTGTCAAAAACTGAGACTGCCACCCTGAATTAATTGTGAGTCTGTGCTTGCCAAAGTCTTGTTTATAATACCTGAGATTTTAAGGTATCAAAATTCTAATCCTATATAAATTCAATTGTTAGAGCATTTGGTAAACATTCTATATAGGCTATATTCATTTTGCTCCTTGGCCAAATAAAACTTGACTATTACTGCCTTTTCTGTTTTCCAGTATCCCTTGTGTAAAAGACTTATGTAAAAATGACCTCCTTGAAATCAGGGCCAAGAAAAAAACATTTGTGTCCTCAAATGAATTGTTTGCTTAATATTACATGACATTTAAAATAAGAGATCCCTAGTATTTGTTCTTTTGTTTCTTAAGGAAGGTCAATACTAGATTCAATGTTCAAATGTAGAAATCAACTCATTCTAGGTACCTGGAAATATGTATGTCTTCATTCCTTTAACTGGTTTATGTTCATTTATAATTTATACCCTTATATTTTTCAATTTTGTCAGGCCAATTCAAATTCATTTTGTAAACAATGGGGTCTAAGTCCTGAAATAACTCAATTATAGTCACCTGGAGGGATGTCAGGACTTCTTTCTTTCTGGCTATTAGACTTCTCCTTTTCTCCACAACATCATCTCTGACTAATTCCCATTTCTCTCTGAATGGTCAGCACTTCTGCACCCAGTTACACAACATTCATGTGTATATATACATTTGTGTTTCTATCCTGTTAAGCCTATAAGCCGCCTGTGGGTAACTGAGGAATTGAGTAAGATGTTGCAGTGAACAACACAGAGCTCTGCACATATGGATGCTCTAAGAACAGCATCCATCAATGAACATATGGACAGATAAAGCTCAGCTGCTAAAAGGGGTAGGCCATGGAGCTTAAATAAGAGGCAGAGATTTGGAAGCTAAAAGCAGACATGATTGGAATGTGTTTGTATTAGTATCCCCACATTCTAGCCTTAGGGATTTTTGACTATCAGAAGAAAATGAAGAATAGCAGATGTCCCAGAGCTTCGCTGCCAAGCCCTTCTAAGGCTACAGGCCAGGTGGTATAGTAGTTGACCACAAGTGGGAAAGAAGCTGAGATCACACATTCTTGGGAGCTTCAAAAAGCCTACATCCACATGAGACCTCAGGCCCAAGCCTTAGCCTCTTACATGCATTCTGGGCTCCCTGAATCAGAAGGCCTGTTTGCTACTGCCCATATTGCTTGGGTAGTAACCACAGGGAGAGAAAATGAACTAAAAGGTTAGGTTGGGGACTGGCCTTGTTGGAGGCCCATGGAAAACTCCCAATTTTCACTTGAGAAAAGGGCATAGTAATGCCTCCAAACATATAACCTCAGAGGTTATGTGGTTGACTAGCTGGCTTCTCTCACATACACATCAGCATATGCACACACACAACTTACGCCTGCAGTAGGCAGTTCCAGACCAATGTCGGCTTGGCAGGCATTGCACCGACTTCCGACCAATCAGTCGAAAGCCCCGGTCACAGGAGAGCTCACAACGTGTGCCCAGGCTGCTGTGATAATTTCCTCCCCTCGGTGAGTAGCATGTGGCTTCTCCATCGTGGATATTTAATGTGTAACACCATCGGGGGACTGTAGCAATAGAAGAAAAGTTAGCTAGAGGTATAATAATCAAGACAGTATGATGTTGGCTAAAGGACAGACATAAAGATAAATGTAACAAAATAGATATCCCAGAGATAGACCCACACAAGCATGCCAAAATGATTTTTGACATAGATACAAAAACAATTCATTGGAGGAGAGATACCTTCAAACAAATAGGGCAGGAGCAATCAGACTTCTTTGTACAAGCAAAGAAACAAAAACAAGAAAAATATCCCCTCAACCTAAGTCTCACACCTTATATAAAATTTAACTCAAAAATGGGTTGCAGACTAAATGTAAAAACTAAAACTATAAAACTTCAGGGAAGAAAAAGAAAATCTTTGGGATATAGAGAGAGGCAAAGAGATCTTAGATATGACACCAAAAGCACAATTCATAAGAGAAAAAGCAACAACAACAACAATAAATTGGACCTTGTCAAAACCAAAAACTTGCTCCGTGAAAGGCACTATTAAGAGATCAAAGACAAGTCAGAAGCTGGGAGAAGATATTTGCGAATTACATATCTGACAAAGGACTAGTATCTAGAATATAGAAAGAGCTCTCAAAACACAACAGCAAAAATCAAACAATTCAGTTACAACATGGACAAGACATGAACAGACATGTCACTTGAGAAGATACACTGATGGTAAGAAGGCACATGAAAAGACATCCATCATCATTAGTCATTAGAGAAAGCAAATTAAAATCACAATGAGATCTACTCATTACTCTTTAAACTTAAAAAAGACAAACGAAACACAAAACGAAACAAACATATGAGAATACCAAGAGCAATACCAAATGAAGATGGAGAGAAACTGGAACTCTCTTATATTGCTGGTGGAAATGCAAAAATACAGCCACTTCAAAAATATTGTGGTAGCATTATTTATTTATTTATTTATTTATTTATTTATTTATTTATTTATGCATGCTTCTTTTAAAGAAAGGTACATTTACCATATGATGCTGTGGTCCCACTTCAAGGTATTTACTCAAATGAAATGAAAACCTGTGTCCACACAGAATCTTATACATGAATGTGTAAAGTACCTTAACTTAATTGCCAACAGCTGGAACCAACTCAAATGTCTTCTTATGGTTGAATGGTTACTTTAAATGTGGTTTATACATACAAAAGAATGTAGTGCTGACCTACAAATCTGAAGTGCATTCTGTGAAGACAAAGACGCCGGGCTCAAAAACCTACATACAGTAGGAGGCTACATGCAGTAGGAGGCTACGTACTGTAGGATTCCATCTGTACGACAAAAAGAGGGACAAAAGTACAAATCAATGGATCAGAGGTAGAGGTAGGGGATGACCTCAAAGGGGCAGCACTAGGCAGTTTTTTGAGGTGATGGAGCTGTTTTGTGCTGTAATGGTGGATACCTGACTCTATGTATTTGTCAATAGTCACAGAACTGTACGCTAAAAAGACTGCATTTTTGCTGTGTATAAATTTAAAATTAAACTTTGAAAAACATTCAAATATAAACTAGAAAGAGGAAGGGAATGTGACATCAAAGAAAGCTGCTTAGGAATGAAAGTCCAATTCCAGTTCAGTACTGAGCACAGAAAGTTATAGGGCCATTAAATCATAAAAGCCTCATAAAGACGCCTCATTTGCTATCTGAAATAAATGACTGCAGTGGGTTCAGACTTTAAAGGAACACATAAACAAGCAGAGAGTCATCTACGCAAGGATGCATGTGAACATGGCACAGATCTGTTCACCTAGGGTTGGGAAGGTTAAAGCTCCATATGAGCTAATTCAGTTCCCGAATCCTAAGTGACCAAAAACAGAGGCTTTGAGAAACACACACACACACACACACACACACACACACACACACACACACAAGCAAAAAAAAAACCCTAAAAGAAAAAAACAGAAACAAAAAACAAAAATAAAAATTTATGAGGCGCTAAAGGGACAAAGAAAGACTAAAGCCTCTGCTTGAGTGCAGCTGGAGAATGAAGACAGATGACAGTGAGAAAACTATTCTTCAACCAACACCACGCTCGGGGCTTCCAGTATTAGTTTCCAGCCTGTGGCAGTGACACATGGCTGCCATCTTGAGACACCCTTTCCAAATTACAAAAAGTCTCTTAAGCACTACAGTTGCAGAACTGTTGATTATAAGGCCACAACACATATCATAAAGACCTTACATGGGAGTCTGGGACCTCAACCATCACTCCTGCTCCATTTCTGTCCCATATTCTGTCAAGGAAAATACATGCTATATTGTAATGGGTAGAACAAGCAAGAATGGTAAGGGAAATATAAAGCTCAGGATAAATGCTAAGACTGTTTAGCCCAGCTACTGTAAATAAGTTCAAATTAGTGAACCCAGAGCAATCCTTGCATAAAGAGAAAATGTTGGATTTCTGGAGAACAAAAAGACAATCTCAATTTTGTTCTTTAACTTTTCTTTTTAAAAATTTGCCAGAGGGTACATGCACTATACTTTTCTTTTTTATTGTCAGAGAGTGCATGCGCTCATCGGAGAGGAAGCACCCTCCCATAGGGCATGGTCATACCGCAGTCTCTTCTCTTCCACTTCTCCATCCTATTGGATTTTGGGCGTACACACACATGTGCCCAGACTGTTTTTGCAAGACTCTGGGGCTTTGAACCACATGGTTAGCCATTAATCACGAGGCTATGGACCTGGCCACGTTTTCAAATAAGGAAGAAGGTAGCTTCTGGAAACTATAGCCTGGTGACACTGACAGCACTGGTAGCATAGTGTTCTAGAATATTTAAATATAAGGCTTATGAGCAGTTAGTCAGAGAAATGGTGATTTCCGGTAGTCCTCGAAAACAAGTAATTCTAGACTGACTTCATTTCCTCTTTGGGTAGGGTCACCAGACTGGTAGAGCAGGGCAAATAGTGGGTACACTATGTGGAAGTAAATGAGGCATGTGACAATGCTTTTCATGCCATTGATGTGGGTGAGATGAAGAAATACATGAGTGGTGACAATACAGTTAAAGAGACTCATAACTGGCTGAACAATTGTACCTGAGGAATGCTGATTGGAAACTGAAATCGAGAATGTGGTTAAATACTGTCTAGTGAAAATGTCTGGTAGGAAATGTGTTGGTCTTTACTGAGTATCTATTGTGTGCTTTCACCATGCTACAGATTTTCTTTTTCACATACATCATCTTATATAGTTCTCCTAATAGCCCTATGAGGTAGGTAGTGTTTATCTCTATTTTGTAAATGAGGAAGTAACTTGCCCAGGGTCCCGTAGCAAGAAACAGCTTAAATTTGAACCCAAGCTTTTTCTACTCTAAAAACCATGTTCTTTCTAACCACATTATCTGTCACTGCAGCATGACAGGCTGTTGTTTTGAAGTATACACTGACCCTTTTTTTTGGGTTGTTGTTAGTTTTTACTATAGGGATATATAGAGAGAAAGTGAGAAAGCACTCCCCAGGGGGGATGGCTATGCTGTAATTCCTTTTCCTCCATTCTCCTCTCGGGATTTTGGGCACTCATGCACAGGCACCCAACGTGATTTTCAAGCCATCGCGTCCAAGACTCAACCACATGAGTTGGCCATGTAGGATCCAGCGCCCCTCTATTTCCGTGCCCTTTTATCTACACCCAGCTCTTTTTTTTTTTTTTTTTTTTTTTTTTTATTCTCAGAGAGTGCATGTGCATGTGTTCCCCAGAGAGAAAGAGTGAGTGAGAGAGAGGGAGAAGAAGCACCTCTCAACAGGGCAAGATCATGCTACAGTCCTCTTTCCTCTATTTCTCCATCATGTCAGGATTTGGGGCAAGCACAGACATGCATTTGGTGTGTTTTCCAAGCTGTCAGGGCTGGAATTTGAACCACAGTCAGTCATGTAGGATCCAGCTCTCAGTGCATAGTGCTTAATTACACTGTTACGGGGCTGACCTTATACTGCACTTTTTGCATAGGTAATGTATACACATGGCTTAAAACTCCAAAAGGATGAGTTACACAGTAAAATGTCTTCCACTTTCCTCCCATTTAGCCCCCTTCCCCCAAAACCACTGTTTAATAATTTCTTTATACATATAAAGCAAATATTGGTACAGTTTCTTATTTTTATTTCTTTTGGCATACACAGTAGCATATTATGCATACTATTCCCACCATCGCTTTTTTTTCAACTTAATGATACATCTTAGAGAGCTTTCCATATCGCTACGTAGGAAATAAGTGCTTTATTTTGATAAAATAGCATTTATAAAATACAGAGGTAGTGACTGGCACATGATACAAGTCAAAGAGCACATGTCCAGAGTCAAAGAGCTAGAAATTAGAGGAGCTGGGATTTGAACTCAGCCCCATGACCTCTCCATAGCTATTCTCCAATCTCTTTTTAGGGTGTATAAAGAAAAGAAAATGCTGACAACAGGATTGAAAGGGCCCTCTCTGTGATTATCTCCAGATAACTCAGGCAGAGTGACCAGCTTGCTCAGGGCTTAGACAAGCTTTGAGGGCAGCAGTAGCCCAGCAGACTAAGGGTATACCTGTCTCCAAAGTAGCAATCAGGATAAGGCAATGATGGAAAGTGCAAGATCAGTGAAAATGGTACCAACCTAGAGCAAACTGTGGCTGTTTGCTCTAAAATAATGATATGCTTTTTATTGGCTACTTTTTCTATTTTTTACAAATGAGTGGCATTTTTAATGAAAGAGATGGAATGAGCATGGTATTGGAATCAGGAAGACCAGGGCTTTAATTCTTGCTCTGCCACCTATCTCTAAGCTCTGTGACTCTCTAAATTTAACTTTCCTGAGCTTAGTTTCCTGTTCTGTAAAATGGGTTCCATATAGCTGTTGTGAGAGTCACGTGCAATTGTATGCAGAAAATATTTGGCCCTATAAATGATATTTCCTAAATCAGTGTCTGGATTTGAGTCCTGTTCTTCTTCAACAACATGTTGTGACTTCCATCATTAGTTTCGATCATGCGGCTGTGACTCATGACTGCCATCTGGAGACATCATCTCCAAATTACAGAAAGTTTCCAAGCACTGAAGTTGCAGAGTTGTTAATTATGAGATCACAATGATTTCTTTTTTTAAAGACAGATTTTTGCTATAGAGCATGTGCGCTCACTGAAGACAGAGAGAGATGGAAAGACAGAAAGTAAGAAATCACCCCCCACCACCACCATGGGGGATGGCCATGCTACAATCCCTTCTCCTCCATTCTCCTCTTGGGATTTTGGGCATGCACACACACACTCCTGGCATGAGTTTTGTTTGTTTGTTTGTTTGTTTGTTTTTGAGAGGATTTTGCTACAGGGCATGTGCACTCACCAGAGAGACAGAGAGAGACAGACATGTGCGCGGCGTGAGTATAAGCCACCGGGTCTGGGACTCAAACCGTGGTCAACTACATGGGAATTTGGCAACATAGCCATTATGCTAACTGCTGGTCCCTCGGCATGAATTTTAAGCCATCACATCCGGGACTCGAACCACAGTTGAGTACGTTAGAGTCCAGCAACATAACCATTACACCATCTGCTGGTCCCAGAAATGATAATGATTTTGCTAAAGAGGCTGGAACCTCAGTTTTACATTTCCTAGCCACTCTCTCCCACTCCATCATTGATAACCTCACCCAACTAGATTTATGCCATAAAACTAAGTCACTAAGAGAGTTATAGGACACTAGACCCCAAGGTCAAAGGTCACAACAGAGCATATCTTTTTTCTAAAGAGCTTTATGTTCATTTAAAAATAACCAGTGAGGGGCCAGCAGATGGCGTGGTGGTTACATTGCTGGACTCCCACATGGCTAAACATGGTTTGAGTCCTGAACCTAGTGACTTGAAAATCATGCCAGGTATATGTGCATGCATGCCCAAGATCTCGGGAGGAGAATGAAGGAGAAGGGGTTGCAGCATGGCCATCTCCCCTGGTGGGTGATTTCTCACTTTCCCTCTCACTCTCTCTGTCTCTATCTCTTGGACAAGCATATGTGCCCTAAGGCAAAAATCTCTTAAAAATAATAACCAAAGAGGGGTTCAGCCCCATAGCCCAGTGGTTAAGGGAGCCAGATCCCACATGGTTGACCATGCTTCAAATCTTGGTCCCAGGAACTTGACAAACACATGTGCATGTGTGTGTGCTTGCCCCAAATCCTGACAGGGTGGATGCTATTTCTCTCTGTGTCTCTGTTTCTCTTTGGCAAGTGCAAGCACCCTCTGGCAATAAAAAAAAAAAAAGAAAACAGCAAGGAAGGTTGAAATTAATCATAAGGATGCTAGGTCCCTCAAAACTACCTTTTGCCTCTGTTGCTTTTCACTATCCACTTCTCCCATTTACAGTCTACAATCTGGCTTCTGCTCTCAGAATGCCAACAGTCAGTCAGCATCTACATTTCACATGGCTCTGTGGGAGTGACATACATGGCTCCTTCTCTTAAATAACTATTTTGTTGATGGTAATAAAAAGTAAACCAAAGAGGCAGTATCTAATGAAGGCCAAATGAGTAGTCTAGACAATACACATTTATTTTGGAAGAGGTACATAGTAGGTATTCAATAGTCACTGAAAAAAAGGAATGAGGAAAAGTTCAGGTTAAGGCAGTCCAGAAACAAGAGTTAAAGCCTGGCTGAAGCACAAATTTCATGTCGTGAGGAGTTAGAAGTTGACAAGCTGGGAAGCTAGACTGAGGCCAGATTCTGAATAGAAATGGTCATTGTGGGGCACTACGTTCAGGGAAAATAGAAATATGAGTCAGCACTTGATTCTGTGCATTGCGGCTTTGGGCACATATGAGCCAAGGCTGGATGAGGATGTTTCAGGGAAGGGCGTAGGCGTTTTAGGCCAGACAAGTACTTTGCTTAGCTTGAGAAGCAGTGAGGATTACCTCGGTAGTCTAGGGTGGGAGCACGTGTGTCCTCTTCTGCATATACTTCATTGTAGCTTTCATCTGGATAGTAGCCTGAACCTAGAATGAAGTAGACAGTATCAAGATGGCAATTGCTTTCTCACTCAAGTCTTTTCAACCTCCCTCCCTGCATCCAACTCTGCCTCTTTGTGAGGGCAAGAAACTCCATAAATGGGGAGCCAGGTGGCTACTTAGTGGGGGAATTTCTGATTTGTAAAGCACCAGAACTATTGTGGGTAAACCTTAGTACCTCATGGTCACAGGGTGAGAAGACTCCATAATCAAAGGAAAAATAATCAAATGAATTGACTATCCTTCAGTCCTGTCAATCTAGACTATAAATGACCCATTTTCTTGATGCAACACATGAATCTTGGTGAAACACTGATGAACAAACTCTGAGGGTGGACTGCTGTCTCAGGTAGCAAGAAAAAATAGAGCCTGAGTATCTTTGTCCTAGTGACAGTCCTGTTCATAGTCCTCAAAAAGAAACCGTAACTGAAGTTCACTCTAGCCCACAGGGCCCAAGCCTTTTTGGCTACCTGATTGCATTTACTGGAAGTAGCATGACAAGGCAGAGAGGGATGGCTCAAAAGGCAAGGGGGAATGAGAATAATTTTTTTCAGCAGTTGTCCTGGTTTGGAGAAAAGGAAGGCAGAGTCTTTTGGATACATTTCCTGTTCCTCTAATCAACAAAAGCTTTAGCAGGAAGCTACTTAGCTAGAGAACATTCCTAATCTACCTCAGTTAAGTGGCCCAGTCCCTGGTGAAGGCAGGTCTGTGACTGTCTAGGAGACTAAACAGTGTGTTCCAGCAGACGGCAGGAAATCAGTCATGAATACAAACTAATTGGAAAACAACTTGGTCCTTTCCGGAGTGAAGTCTCTGGAAACTCTCTTTCCAGCTTCGGTGAGCCTTAATGTATGCATAGGAATAGGGCAGCCAGGCAAGCTGGAGTCAGAAGACAATTCCCCATTTCCAGGAGAGGGTGTGCTTTTAGGACAGGGCTGGGTTTTAGTGCTGAAGCCCTTTGGACTGTGTAAACACTCAGGCCACAAGATTGCCTGCCTCCTCTCTCGGATGAGGTACAGGGCCCCCTGAGTCAAAGGGTGGAGTAGAGGGCTAGATAATGAAGCTTCTCCATTCCCCACAAGCCCAGTCTGGGGGCAGAGGGGAGGGAGCATTAGGAAACCAGTCCAACTTGGTGAACAAGGGAATGAATCAAATTGAAAGTTTGCCTTATGAAATCATGTCCTTGTTGGTTTGCCCTCATTCCAGAGGAAAGAGTTCATTTTTTCTCTGTTCCGTAGTTTTATTTTTTCTGTGTTCTGTAGGGTTTTTTTTTTTCCTCCTGTTTTTTCTTTTCAGTTCTTCTGGCTTCCCTTTATTTTTCTTCAGACCTCATCTCTCTTACTCTCTTTTCCCTCATGGGAGATTTCTTTGTGTGTGTGTTGGGGGGTGGGACATAGAATTCTTGTCAGCTGTTTCAATTTAGTATCAGCCTCAAAGCCTTACAGCTCCTGTAAACAGGAGGCCAGATGTGTGTGGTTCCCTGAAGTATTAGGTCTCCCTATTCTTGTTACAGAGCTAGTCTGTGAAGAAATGTTCAGCA